AGAGCAAAAATAAAGCCGGACAGCGGAGAAGCCGTGTTAGTTCTTGGACTGGCGGGGCCTCGGGGTATTGGGGGGGCGGGCAGGACAGCAAACCGCTTCCTGCGCACGCGCGGCCCCCGCACCGCTAACGCATGCGCCCTGCGTCGAGCGTGGCGGCAGCGCGAGTTTCGGGCGGGGGGCTAGACCGCAAGCGCGAGTTCCGGGCGGAGGGCTAGACCGCAGAGCCGCGGGATCGAGGTGCGGACGCAGGGGCTGGCCGGGGCCGCAGGTGAGGGACCCAGCGGCGCCCTTGGGGCTCGGCGCCGTGCAGGCTTCCCGGCCGGGGGGGCGGAGGAACCTGCTGGCTGCGTTCTCATTACGCCTAAGGACTAGTGCCGAGGCCAGGCCTGAGCCAGGAACCAGCCGGTCCTCAGCAAGTGAGCTGGTGACGGGGCCCTGAGACCTCTACCCAGCAAACCTGAGGTCTCCTAGATCAGGCTGCAAAGACAAAGTCGGGGCCAGGGTGTGCTGCTGGGGAACCCGGACATGGCATTTTAGGACAAGAAAGGTCGTGTCTGTCCAGAGTTGGGGCGGGCGTACTGTTCGTGGTGCAGGCTTCCTGAGCCAAGTGGGGAGCAGGGACCGGAGCCTCGGATGAGGTTTTTGGTGGGTACCTATGTGGACCGGCCACTTCCTGAAGTGGGCACATGGGCTCTGGAAGATTTAAGGTCAGCTGGGTATGGAGGGAGAGGATTTGGGTCCAAAGTTCCAGGCTCGGGTTTATGTCCTGTTTACCTGTCTCTGGGAAGGTGCAGAACAGGTGAAGTGGTCCTGAGGAAGCAGGGAAGGGCTGAAGGATAAGAAAATGCTTATTGCAAATAGACACGAGATCAGGAGTCAGGTAGGGAATGCACCTGGGCACTGGAAGCCCAGCTGTGGCACAGGTGCAGTGAGGTTCCCAGGTGGAAGGACAGGAGGGACACACATGGAGCTCACCCAATGTGGGTCTTTGGTGATGCCTAAAGTCCAACTGGAGGTTTCCCCAGTGGAGCCAAGTGTGGGGATGGCCCCCATGTGGGGGCAGATTAGGGCCCTCTGCCTTGTGGCCTGACATTTGTGCTCTTTTCCAGGAGGATCAGGTCAATGTTGCTGGCCCAGGGACCCAAGGCTTGGCAGGGGGTCTCAAGACTCCGCTCTCAGCTCAAACCCTCAGTCCTCCCTAGGGCCCTAGGAGGTGAGGTCATGTGTATGAAGCCCCAGTTCCTGTCAAGCCAAAGTTCTGCAGGGCCAGACCGGCCCCTGCGCCCCAGGCTGCGGACTAGGCTGTTGGTGACTGTCTTGTTTGGAGCCGGGCTGGGCTGGGCCTGGCTGAGCGCTCGGGCAGAGAAGGGGCGAAGGCAGCAGCAACAGCGCACAGAGGCCCTGCGCCAGGCTGCTGTGGGCCAGGGGGACTTCAGCCTGCTGGACCACCGAGGCCAGGCTTGCTGCAAAGCCGACTTCCGGGGCCAGTGGGTGCTGATGTACTTCGGCTTCACACACTGCCCTGACATCTGTCCAGATGAGCTGGAGAAGCTGGTGCAGGTGGTGCGCAAACTGGAAGCTGAGCCCGGCCTGCCCCAGGTGCAGCCTGTCTTTATCACCGTGGACCCTGAACGAGACGACGTCGCAGCCATGGCTCCGGATATCCAGGACTTTCATCCCAGGCTGGCCGGGCCA